GAGTTAAACTGTAAGAAGACTAGAAGAACGTGAAACTGCTCAGGCCTAAGAAATTACTACAGTTTGTCTAGGCATAAGAAAGCCATTATATTAAATGGCACACTTCCTTTCCAGAAGTTGACTCAGTCATTTGAACTTTAAAGGAAAAAGGAAACATCTCTACTGAGTAACAGTTAAAGAGGAAAACTCTTAGACTTCTAGAGGACACCAGACTTAGCTGTTAGTTTAGTAGAATATCCATTATTATAAATACTAATCTATAGCTTTTGGTATTGTGAAGGAATTCTTATTTGGAGATTAAAAAAAACCCTCTCAAAGCTGCATTTGCAGCTTTAGGACAGCTACTCAGCAGTCTCATTCACCAGAGGTGGATGCTTAACAGGTAATGCAGTACCAGCACTTCAAGAGAACTTGCTGAATTGTTTCAGTTCAGTCAGTACAGGTAAACTGCATTTTTCTGATTATAGTTTATGTACAGCACCACATGGCCATTGAAAGGACAGCTGCAAAACACAAAGAGCCTGATCCAGATCATCTGAGGCTTCCCCACATTCAAGAATAGAAGAAAAAAGTGAGGAGGGAATGCCTTCCCTCCTCAGTTGTCTGTTGTAAGGCACTGATACGCAATAGCCCACAGGAAATGAATACTCTCACAAAGTTCCTCTGAAGCAAAGGCAGTGACAGCCAGAGGATGGCATATGTATGCTAGGGAGTGGAGGAGGGACAGGAAGCAATCAGCAAGAGATGCTGATAAAAAGAAAGAGCCTAACAACTGTGAGGAAAAAACCCTCCTGGCTCCTGCAGAGACAGGCTGCAAAATGCTAGACCTGGGTTTTCCCCAGACTGGAAAAGCTGTTTCAGGCTGCTTGTAGCAGAGTCTAACTAATTCAATTATTTTTGTAGTAGTGTTTGTTATTTTCCCTCCCTGGCCTTACATCATGACCAGATTTCAACTTTTGCATCACTTAATCGAATAAAGAAAAGTATTTCTTGAATGTTTTTGTTTTGTTTAAACACTATCTCCTGTTTCAGGCTCTGGCTTTTGATTTGGAATCCAAGCTGCTAAAAAACCTATTAGGAAATACAAAACTATATGAATAACCACAGAGTGAATATACCAGTCATGAGCTACCACAGTGATTTAGATAATATTTCTGCTACCTCAGATAACAATAGCTCCTTCACACCTTTCAGCTCATTGCATCACCTGCAAGTAAACCTGTCTCACTAGAAACGTTCACTGTTCAGAAATAAAGGCTCAGAATTATATGAAGATGTTCTGTTATTGCACCCAACCATGTACAACCATACCATCTTAGGTAACACGGCAACCGAGCACTTAGATAATTAACTATGTCCAAAAGCCTTCTTACAGAGGATTAAGTCTATAAAATTAATGAATTCTGCTTGCTTCCAGACAGTTCAAGCACTAGAGGAAAATAAACAGCTTTGCTGCCCACGTCAATTTGGAAATACCAGATTTATGTATATGATCATGCCACTGGTGACAGCGCTTAGCACTGCCAACAACCTGCAAGTCTCATTCATTTCAGCAGGGCTGACAGATGCTCAGCTTTACTAAGTCTGTCAATACTGTTTTCCTGTGTCTGCTACCTGCTCATGACATCTCATGACAGAATTTGACATCTCATGACAGAATTTTTCTAGTGGGTAGGATGGTCTGCAGGGTGGGGACTGGAAAAATAGTTTACAGATGATTTCCCAATGCTATTGTTAAAGCACTGTGAAACCTGAAGAGTGACCTTAACTCTTCCCTACTTGTTTTTGTCTCCTGTTTTCTTGTTCCCACCCCATATGTTAGACAAGCATTTATTTTTAGATAAAGAACAGATAAGCAGAACAATCCATTTCAGGAGAACACATCACCTGTCACCCAGCTGACTGACTGTGACTCCTGTGCATTATACTGTTGACTATTCAGCAATGAGCTGATCACCTGGGCCTACCTGAATGGAAGAAAATACAGTGTCTCAGACACCATTTTAAAGAATTCTTTAAAAGTGAACTGTTATGCCAAACAGCTCTGTGTAATTCCCTTCCTCACCCACTGTGTTAAGAGCATTTTTCCTGAACAGAAGCATTAGCAACCCCACAATCCTGTATTGTGCTTTTCTCAGCAGGTTTCAAAAACCTTCAGGATTTCTCCCCTGCTCTCCAGGTAAAGTGTGAGGTGGGTGGGAATTGTACAGGGCTGGCTGACAGAGTGCAGGTCAACAGGTCTTGTCTACGCACGGGCTAGCTTCATAATGGCACAATACTGGTATCCTCTTTCGGGAGGGTGCTTGGAAACATGTTGGTCTAATACTATAGATGGGATGAACAACCCTGCTGTGTTAGACTCTTCCCATCGTCTTTCTCAGGAGCTTTGAGGCAGTGCTCTTGCAGCATGACAGAAGAGCATAGAGACTTCATGAAAAAGGAGGAATCTTTCTGTTCCCTGTGGCCCACCCACAGACAGTCTAACTAACTGGGGGCAGTCAGAGCACAATGAACATGTCTTCAGGCAAGCCCAGCCTGCAGGCTTGGAAGGACACTTGTAGCCAAAAGGGCTATGGCACATCTGATATTAAAAGCAATTATAATACTGTTTACGTTGAAGTATTTGGACTCATTAGGACTCATCTTGCACATAGAAAGTCTCATCTCATCTCAGGGCAGCTGTGGATCAAAATCGCACGTGGATAACTAGGTATACAGCATCTGCCAGCAACATTTAGAGTTGTGTGCCCTTTCCAAGAAGGAGACCTTCCTCGCAGTTATCTTTTCACCCCTCCTCCCCACCAGGAATATTTCAAAAATGTAAGTACAGCTTTCCTTTTCACACCACAATAACACTGCAACTATGGCTGAGTTCATAGGTTAACTCACTTATGACTGTAATTTCTGATCTGTCTGGAGATATATTTATGTGATAGATGATAAAGAAAAAAATAGATTAGCATCAAAAGTCATGTGTTCCAATTAAAAACATCACAAACAGCAGGCATAACTATCCCAGCTCCCTCTGAAAGATGCTATGTTAATTCCTGTATGTCTGCTTCTGCCCTCATAAGATAGGCTCTAAAATCCATTCCCATCCCAAAGCTGTAATCCCAGCTAAAAACTGAGCCTCACTGGGAAGGAGTTAAAAAACATTTAGCAGTCCTTTCTGACACTGGTATGGCTGAAAATGCAGTCAGCTGTGTGAAGAGCTAATTCCTCCACACCTCTGGGAATTCAGCTGTTGCAGTTTCACTTCTGCTCCTCCTATGCTCTCAAAAGGCCCATGAAAATCATAGAGCCTTGGGGCATAGTGTTTACACTTTCACAGACTGCAGTCTGAGACAATGAGCTTTTTGGGAAACAATTGGCTTTTCATTACTGATTGTGTCATATACAGTGCAAGTGCTACAGCCCTGGCCCATGGCTGACAGACTCTAGGTATGACTGAATGACTTGTAAGAAAATAATCAACACCATACAGTGCAGGCTGTAAAGTGTTGTGAAAATGCCTACAAAAATATGATGGCACCTCTCTGTACTTACCTGGTGGGATGAAAAAAGAAATACCAAGACTATTTACAGGAGCAAAATTAATCTGAGTTTATGAAGAGAGTTTATTTATGTAGACAGGGGGTATTTTAGGTAGTCTTTTGCTTGTTTGCTTTTGATAATACTGCCAGAACAGCCTTCTTTATAATGACTATGCTGCAAAAGGAGTTATGAAAAGTATGTTGCATCATCATAGGCTTTAGTATTAAGGTAAATGTGGCTCTGTCTTCCAAGAAAGGGATAATGTACATAAGAACAAGGGAGATCAGGTGATACAGTTTCACAGGATAAATATGAAATAGCATAGCTAAGATTTCAGAAGCTTACCAACTGACTTTGAATCACATTTGTTGCAGAGATACACATTTTGTACCCACGACTTAACAGACTATTTTTTCATTACGAAAAAACCCATAGTTTTAAAAGCAGTGTAGGTGGCTTTTTTATTATGATTTTTGCAGTGGAGCAGACCTTTTATTTGCATTATATTTGTTTGTCTGATTAAATAATTCTGGTATTTCTCTTACTGTTATGTAAGTAACCTCTCTTGTCATTGAACTGCAAAATAAGCCTTCTGCAGGTGATTTGTGGAGGAACCAAGACCTCTCTAGAAAGATCTGAACATTCTGGAGCAGATTTGAGACTGTCAAGAAACAAGAAAAAAAGAAGGGAGCTACCAGAAATCACACCGAGCTATCTCATAAGAGAAAAGTGGGTAAGGGAAACACAAATTTCCTGAAAACCTTCCAATGTTAAAAATATTTAAGAAACTGAGCTAATTCAGGTAATAGGAGTACTGAACTGCACACCTTAAAATAATGCTTCAAGGGGAAGAGAAAAGAAAAAGGCAGCTAGGAAATATATGGCTGTAATTGACAGATACAGCAGGTAATTAATTATTAAATCCATGCTGTTTGTCAGCTGCAAATGGAAGGCTTCTGCATAATTTAAGACAGTATTTTAAGTACTCTTGAGTCTTCTGCTTGACGTGTCTAATTTTTATCCAACTATTGCACCTCATCACAAGAGGGGACACATCCCTGTCTTTGTTCAGTTTTATCACCTGACTTCACATACTTACAGTTACATGTTTATTTTCTAGAAATATAATTCTATAATTCATTTAGAGTTGTTCTACTCCCTTCCCCCCCAAGATTGCACCAGTGAGGCCTCTATCAGCAGAAAAAGAGACAACACTATACAGAATAGAACTGGAAGCTCACTTAAAAGAGACAGTATCACCATCCATAAAAATATACTAACCAGAACAGTCTTCCTGGGGCATTATCAATGCCAGCTTGTACTTTGAACTGGTACATTTCTAGTTCACATTATACTCTCTTTATTCACACCTAGGTGCAAAGATCCTCAATTCTACCAGGCCAGGTCGAAGTGTACTGCTATTTTTCAACCCAAACAAGCTCAACAAGGTTTTTTTGCACACTTACTCTGGAGATGGTCAAGGGCATGTTGAAGTCCTTGCCCCCTTGCAGTCGGAAGCCCCATGGTCCAGGTCCATTCAGATTCACACTGTAAGCCATGTTGTACCGCTTTCAAAGGCAGCAACAGGGCACTGCAGGACAGAAGGATGGGGCAAACAGAAAAAAGTGTGAAAAAACAGACTGAGAACAGGGAAGGGTTTTACATAATGAAAGCAATTCTCTCTGCCTTGCCTGCTCAGTCGTGCTCTGATACCACCTAAGAATAGATGAGAGCTATAATGCAGATGCTGATATCCCAGCTGAGTAGGGCCCATAAAAGGTTTGTAACCAGACACCTACTATGCAAAGACTTCATGACTCAGAGGTCTAATATAGCCCCCAGGGAAGGGGACAGATCTTTCTAGGCTCCTCGAGCCCCTCATGCTGCTCAGTTACTTTATGGACAAAACACATGTTTTAATAAAACAAGCAAACAAAATTCCATTCTAAAATCCCAAATACCCAAGTCCCTTCACTAACCTGTTAACAACTACAAAGCCATTTTTAAATTCTGCTTCAGCACATAGGTATCCTGCACTGTGACAAATAATACAAGTCCTTTCTACATAGGCCTTTCCACATGTAGCAGGAAATGCACAAAGGAAGTGTTTACCTTATTTTGCAATGCTTTGTTAAACTGAAAAAAAAGTATATACTACATGTATTTAGCACCACCAAGAAAATAAATTTAAAAAATAAATTAAGAAAAAAAAAATCCCACAACTTCACGTTTGGCTCTTGGTTCCATAGCCCTTGCTTTCCTTAGGAAAAATTAGCATTTATTCTTTCTGAATGCAGAAAGATGTATCATAGGATACTCCTAAACAGCATTTAATTCCTGTGACAAAAGCATGGTTTCACGACATACCTGTTTCATCATTGCAATACAAGTCTTCTAAAGGTGTGATGCTTGAATGAAAGGCTAAGAATACAAATACTTAGCTAACTGCTTCCTTAATTAATTCCCCAAGTTTTTCATAGTTTACATTGCAGTTCTTAGGAGTTCCATAAAACTATAACCCTTGTTCAGTTCAAATGCTGGATAGCATTTCTGGCTTAGATTGGAAATAGATAAAACACAGAGGGCATGAGGGTAGGGAAGAAGCTGTTGGCAGAAGTACAGATATAAACAAAAAGTTTCTGTTCTCAGGGTAAAGCTACAAACATTAAGTAACGCTCACCCCTTTCAAGTCATTAATTTGTGCAGGACCTCCAGAACCCCTCTTCTGTATCCCTGCAGCATTTATACTCCTTCATCCTCTGGTTAGAAAGAAATTATATTAGAGAAATTATATTAGAGAAAGGGGGAAAAAGTCCCCACCAGGTTCTACTTTGATAATCAAAAAGACAAGCAAACCCACACAATGCACTAGAGAGAAGCAGCTCAGCTTGAACATTGATAATGGGTCACCCTGTCAATACACCTACCTTAAAACATGGTAAATACCTGATGACAAAACAGCAGAGAGCAAACACTACCAGGAACTCAGTCTTTGTCTAAGGAGATGGTCAATAATTTTTCAAAACCATGAAGCAATAAAAGTTTTTGTCTAGCATTCACAGTGCCAGAAAAGCCATTTGTACAAGGGAATAATTAATCTCTGCATAGGCACTAGACTAAACCATGTAACCCTTTAGCCAGTGGTCCACATTAAACCACAGCAATTCACACAGATTTAAATAAAAGTTACGCTAAGCCAGTGGAACTGGCCTCAACTAAAATGAAAGCAAATAGCAAGATACAGCTTGAGAATAAAGCAGGGTTTTGATGTCTCACAAATACCTTGAAGGTGCATTTACATTAAGAGTATTTATAACCTGTCCTCTGTGAGTGCAGAACCACTGATGTTTGAATGATTACTTTAAGAAGAGGCAAAACTGACTTGTTGGACTTAAAATGGCAGAGTTTCCTGGCCTGCCAGTTTATCTAGTACTGGTTTATTTTTTTTTTTTTTAAGAAAGCCATATGCATACACAAAAGTTTGAAGGTATAATCTCTTTGTACTTTTCCTTTTACTTTTCCTAGGAATTCACTGCTGTTTTAAATGCCCTTTCTTGGCTCCATTTCAAGAGTTCAGGAGAACAGAATAAAACAAGGAGTAAGGTAAACGTAACAAGTCACTGCTTCACTACTAAAGACAGTATCACATACATATTAGAAGAAAGACCACAGTTTTATGGACTGTGAATTCTGTGCATGTTACCTTTCCATACCTACATCTTCAGTCATTTGTGTAAATAACAGAAAAGGGGAGGAAGTAAAACCCAGAACAGAATAAAACCACACAGAAACCTGAACAGAGCCAAGAACTAAAAAACAGAGACGTTGTTTAATCAAACACTATGTCCTTCTCCAAACAGCTTCTGTCCTACTTTCACATCTGTAACATGCCATTTGCTTATCAGGACATCTGAAAGGATCTGAGAGATCCTTCAGGCTGAGCAGTGAGCTAAGAAACCAGAGCGGGCATCGCATTCGGGGTCTGTCATTTGAATGAAATGTTAAACTGAGGTCACTTGTTCCTACTCCTTTGGTTTCTGTCCATGGCTGCCGAATGTTCAGCATAGCTTGGCATTTTTAAAAGGAAAGTGTAGAGGACATGCCAGCATCCCGACCAACATTTCCCTTCAATGCATTGGGACCACAGCTCTTTCATGTGTCTGCACTATCCCTACCAGGTGCAATTTGGACAAAGACTATTCCAGAGTTTTCTCTCTCCAAGCCTCTCTCCTGTGTCTGTATCCCTGCTGCCTGCCTGAAAAAAGCTCTGCTCCTAATAATGAAGTTTAAATGTTGCAGAAGCTCGTACTGTAGTCACAGCTCCATTTGTTCAGGACACCCTTAGCACAGGTCTCGCCTTCTCCAGACTCACTACAATCAGCCTCTAAATAAGAAAGCTGGTGATCCATCCAGATGGCTGTTTCAGCCCTGCCCTGTTTTCAAAGGTGAGACAGTGCAGCAGCTACAGTGCCACTACAGCTACCAGAACAAACCTCAGCAAAATCTTCTGGGATACCAGAGGCTGAAATAAACTGTGTGTACAGAAGTGGCAATTTCCTTGTTTTTCAGATGCTTGTGATATTCAGATTGTGTTTTAAGTTGCTTTACATAATTTCTGCTAGTCTGTTTCAAAAATAATATTTGTTTGCTCAGATAATAGTATTTTGTTTCTCATGGTGTGCCTTCTTCCCTACATTCTCTGGTTATGTCAAAATCTATGACTTGCTTAAAGCTCCCTCCCTTCAGAGAGAAGCTGTGCTGAGTCAGATGAGGTCACTGATGTAAGAAGTGACATTTAAACAAAAAACATATTCCAGGAGCAGGGTGACATTTTCTCTACACATATCAAATCAGAGGATTGTCCAGAGCTCCCCAGGCACCCCCCCCCTCCTTGCCCAAGCTATTCCCAGATGACTGATGGGAACATTTGTGAGGAAGCTGGATGGGTACCAGGGAGAGGAGAGTGTCACTACCTCCAGCAAACGCCTCTGAGCACGAGCAAAGCTGTCCTTCCACAAGTCCAGCAGAGATGTTACGTCAGCGGAAACAATTCACTCGTGCTAGGAGACCATGCTGTGCGTATTACAGTGAACTGACTTTGGGACAGCCACAACTGCATGCTCGGGAGTACACAGACATTAGGTGAATGAAATAAAAGCCACCAGTGTCAATGCTACATTGAGGTGGAAGGAAACAAGTAATGGAAATTCCAATTGTTAAAGTTGCAACTACTTCACAAAGCTGGCCACATTAGTCAGGGGTTATATTTTGTCGCTGTGGCAAATGTACGCACAGGGGAGACTTGAATTACTGTTACTGCAGCAACAAGGTTTTATCATTTGGATCATCAAGGTTTTCAGAAGTGGATTGCTTGAGAGTTTGACTTCTGAGCTGCAACAGATTATGAATCTCTGGCAAATAAAAAGATGCATACAAGGTCATGGTTTGAATGTTTTATGTTTAGCCAAGTGGAAGATTTGTGTCACACATGAATAAACTATCATCTCCTCTTTAACAGAATGATATTCAACAAGCTGGATAGACTTTCCTTTAGAAAAAAAAAAAAAGAAAAGAAAAAACCAGGCAGAAAGATTGTCTTTATTTCATCTCCCTCACCTGAGGGATTGGCAGTACAAGAAGGCAGCATTCAGCTTTATGACTTTTTTTGTCCCATGGATTCCTGCACTGTCCCCAGTACAATTATCTACAATCCTTCAGAAGAGTGGGAAAGCAAGGCGAATGGAGTAGTTTCTTTGAAGAAACTACTCACTAGACACATGCATGAAGAAAACCCAAGCTTTGAACCAGTTGTCCAATATACACAATCCTAGAGTTTTCCAAAGTTTTGAGTCTACCAAATTGAGTTAACCCAATGTTAAGCACATTTCACACAAAATCAATAGCTGTATTTGGGGACTGATCTTCATTGTCACCAACAGGATGAAATGGTATATATTTACTACATATTAGCTAACTAGTACTAAGGAATTTAAAATTGACACTTTAGAGATGGGAAAAAAAAATTAGCTCTGAATTCCTACCTTGCCAGTGGCAAAAATAATTACCAAGACAAAAGATATTTCCCCCCACAAGTTCAATATTGCTTCCAAAGTAAGACCATTCTGCAAAAGAGCTCATCGCGTTCTCCTTTCCCTTACTCCTGAGCTCTGAACTAAGTTGAGCTAATCCTACTTCTACTTCCATGTACAGCTTTGTTTCACCTATTTAAAATCCTCCAATTCTCAAAGACCTTAGGATTTCTGAGTTCCTTTTAGCCCCTTTATCAAACTGTCCTAAGTCTTGATCTTCCTCAAGCTGCTAAATTTTCTATCACATGTGGCTTCACCACAGTCTGCTTTGTCAATTATTAAGACTGTGTTTTGTGGATTCCAGAAAAAGTTGATAATGCTGGGAAGATATGCTAGAGCAATATAATGATAGCATATTACCTTCTTTTTCTAGAATATAATGCCTGCAAAAATGCAGCTCAAATGTTTCCTCTATGGCTGTTTGCTGCTATCAGTATCTCTACCAATTAACCAAATTTGCTACTTACCCCTCCCTCTAGATCCTTCACCAGGATTTTACAAAAAAACCCATCTGTTTTCAGACTTTTTTCCTCTACTGAATGGCCTTTTTTTTCTCTGCACCAACCTCCTCTCACTACCATAAAAGACTTGGTATATAACACAGTTTAGTCAGAATTAAATTTTAAAAGGCATGAAGATTTTTTGGTAACTGTGTTACACTGGATACCTGTGGAGAGACAGATTCACCATGAAAGGGAAGGGGAAGATACACTTAAGTCTTCACAAACAGTCTGGAGAGGTGTGTTAGTAAGTTCTCATCCTACGAGCTTTTCAGTCATCGTTTTTAAAGACACTACAGCATGTAATACTTAAGAATACTATGGCACTTACCTTCCCATGACAAGAAAAATTCTTCTTTTAAGGTAAAGCACACTTAAACACCTGTTGTTTTAACCATGTCCTGCTCATAAACATAACCATAGTGCTTAGGTTACCAGCTTTAGGTCAGAAAATGAATCAACAGCAGCAAAATGGATTAAAATGCAGGGCTCAGTTTCTAACGTACTTAAGGCAGAAAAAGAAGTCTGCAAAATGTGTTGCTGTTCAGTTTTCATTGTGACACTGCAATTCTGGGCTGAAATCAGGAAAGTTTGCAGCAATCCTGTGACTAGTGTAATCTGTGTCCTGCTGCAGGGGAACCTAATTGACTATTTGGCCTCACGAAAGAGACAACAGTGACCGAAAAAATCCAAACAAACCCGAAGACATCACCGTCAGCTCCACAGAGACCAGGGGCTGAGCGCTGACATCGAGGTCACAGGAGCTCTTAGAGCGCTGGCTTTGCCTCCTGACAGCCCGAGGTCTGGCACAGCGCAGGGAGCGCACAACGAAGCTCACGAGAAGGATCCTGTGCCAGTGTCAGTGTCATCTGGCCATGGCAGATTCCTCAGGGATCACCACAGCACGCTGATGTAGCGGTGAGCCTATACCCACAAGGGTGCAAGATAACTAAGCAGCCTCTCAAAAGTTACACTTCAGCCTCGCCTACTCACTTCTGCCTTTCCAGAAACCGCTCCCCGGGATTTAATTTTCCACTACAGACACGCTGTAGTCGCGGCGCGACCCACCTTGCCCGCTCGCAGTGTCTCCCTCACCGGTACCTCCGGGCCGAGCGGCCTCCCCCCGCCCCCTCCGGCCGCGCAGCGCTGCCCGGGCCGCGCTGGGTGGGTCCCGCCCCCGCGGGAGCCGCGGCTGCCGCACCCACGGACATCGGCCCCGCAGCCAGAGGGCGGCCGCGACCGGGGCCGAGGGAAGCGCTGAGCCACCCGCCCGCCCCCGTGGCCAGAGAAGAGCCGCTGCCCCGCAGGTGGAGCCTTTAAAGCGGCCGGGCCGCCGGGAGCGCCGCGCTGAGGGAGGCTGCCGCTCCCCGTCCCGCCACGAGGGGGCGCTGGGCGGGCGAGGCGGCGCGGGAGGGGATTTGCCTCAGGCGGTGGCGCAGGGACCGATCCGCAAGAAGCCGCTGCCGGCGGCGTGTAAATATCCGAGTTTGGGCCGAAATCACCTCGGGGCCGCGGTGGCAGAGCAGGAAGGTGACACAGAGCTGTGGGGAGCGGTTCGGCCGAGCGCCGGGGCAGCAGGTATCCCGGGGGGCGGGCGTTCCGCATCTGAGCCCTCGGGGAAGGATGCGAGGGATGAAATGGCGGCGGGAGCGGGGGGGCTGCGCCCGCGGGTGGGACCAGGAACTCTCTGGAAGGCGGCGAGTGCGGCCGGGAGGGGCTGCTGTCCTGCCCAAGTTCAGCAAAAGCTCTTGAGCTTTGTGCGTTAATGCTTTGCGGACTTGGAGCCTGCAGCCTTCAGCCCGTTCGCTCACCGCCTGCTGCCTTCAGCCCCTCTGCTCGCCGCCGGAACACGAGTGAGAACGGTGCTTTTCATTCACTGACCCGTTTCCCCCACTGATTCACTGGTGTTAATAAGCAATGGTCGTTTTAGTTAAGTAGAAAAGTTAAAACTATGTCCCGAGAGGAGACAAAGGTTTTGGAAGACAAAAAATGCAGAATGAACAATTTAATTGCCCACCAGGATACTGATGCTGAGATGATTTAAGAGATTGAGCCTTGTGGTGCCTTCACATGGTCCTGCTGAGTGCTGTCAAGGACCAGGCAGCTCGCCCCATGCATCCCTCTGTTCAGCACTTCTGTTTGGTTTGCTTTTTTGGCTTCTTATGTTATGCTCCCCAAAGCACCTGCGGAAAGTCAGCTGTTTTCTCAGTGCAATGACAGAGCCACTGCTTTATGAATTTGGTGAAAAATTAAAAAAAGGAAAAGCCTGTTCCCAAGCGTCGATCCGCTGGAAACGCGTGCGGTGCGCCGTGGCATGGGAACTCGCTGGGATTTGCGAGAATTCTGTGCTGGGAAGGTCCCGGACAGGCGGCCCCGCTCTGGCCCACAGCAGAGCGGCTGTGCCGAGGGGCCGCGCCCGGTCAGCACCAGGGACAGGGCGGCGGCGCGGCCGGGAGAAAGCCCCGCTGCGAGGGGCCGAAAGCGCCGCACGGGCCGGGATAAGCGCAGCAATGGAATCTCTGAAATACACGGCCCTTCTGAGAAGTTTCTCAGCTCCAGCCTACTTAAAAGGATCACAGTTCAGGTTCAGTGTTTCATGTCTTATGGAACCTCAAGTCTCTTTACACTTTTAAGTACTGGCTCCTCTTTTGGTCCAATATACAGCATGCACAGACAAGGCCAGGAAAAGTTGATCTAAATTACTTCTGTATTTATATTTGGCCAACATTCATATTCATATGGATTGTGACTTTATGGTAGTTGCAAAAATATTCCACTGACAAGTTGGCTTATATCCCCAAAGGAAACATTTTGCATCTTGTGATGAGGTGAGCAACTTCGTAAAGTAGCATACTAGGTGATTTAGGCTGGAAAATATGATCCGGATGGTGGGAAATTATGTTTATTTCATGATGTTCTGTTTGATTATCCCATTCTATGTGTGATGGAAAAAAATCATATTTAGATTTAAGGACCTATACCCGAGCCTTTCCAAGGCCTTCAATAACCTGATTTTCTGCTCCCTGGTAAAAGTATCAGCAAGGATAACTGGGAATTGTCCAATAATCCCGTTCTCATGAGTGGTGGATCAGTTTTGCTTCAGACTTTGTTTTTGTTTGAAACAGGATGAAATACACAAGCTTGTATACTTCTCCATAGGTCACTCAAGTCTGGGGAACTTGAAAGTATGGGAGCTCTACCTGCTCAGCAGTCTCTAAAAGAACCTGCAGGCTTGTTCCCAGAAACTTGTGCCTGTCATCTGAAGGGACAAAATCCCCTGTCCCATTTTTCAAGAAAGACAGTATTAAACTCATATTTTAGATGATGTTGCTTACCTACCAATGGCCTTGGAATAGTTCCCTGAAACACCTTTGGGGTCACCGCTTAGGATGAAAAGCTGAGCACTGAGACTGCACTGGCTAGGCCATCTTGTGCAAACAATCCTATTTGCTTTCTGGAAAGTAGCTTACGGATAGATTTAGCTGTCCATTTTCCTCAGTGACTGACTCAGTGTGATTTTCTTTTGACCCATGAGTTTCATTTCAGCCTGGGTAATTTCCTTTACTGGAAAATTCAGATAGTTCTGCCAAGGGCTAATTTTCTGCAAGTCTTTCTCCTGGTCTTTTATCCTTTCTTCTAATCACAATCTGATCTTCCAAACTGTTTCATCAGCTGTTCAGCCTCAGAGCAGTCTCAGAAACATTGTTTTCCTTGTAAATAGGCCCCTTATTTTTCATAAATGTCTGCAGTATGGTTTCATTAGGTTTATCAAGTACTTCAGTAAGCTGTCTGCACAGTTTATTTGAAGTAATTTTAAACTGAAGATGCAACCACCACGGATGGAAACTTAAAAGTATGACTGCTACCCAACAAGGCTGGTCTCCTCAGGTACTGAGGGGCTCCTCACCAATGATTAGGAAAATTATCAAGTAAAGTGCAGACGCTGCAGCACAAAGTATGAATATGCTTTATCCTGGGATAATGCTTTTGACATCTCATCTCACTCCCTGCCCAGCTGAAGGAGTTCTGAGTTCAGAAATAAACTGGTGAAAGTGTGGCTTTCTGAGAGTCCCGACTGAGGAACGAGTAACTGAGAAGAAGATACTGCCTTTGGTTTGGATGGGCTGTGTAGGTGTTACTTCTCTGTGGCAACACTGATGTGACTGTTCAGGCAGCAGTGCTAACATTGAGAGGAGTGCAGATCTGGCCTGCATTTGCACTGTCATTTACCCAAACTGTAACAGCTCCAGTAAATGAAGCTGTTCCATTTGTGATTTTCCCAGTTCTTTGCACATGCTGTGTAAGGAGGCAGGAGAATCAGTGTTTTGTTCCTTCTGTCACTGGCAAATAAATGGGCAATTTACAAAACAACTCACAATTTTCACTTCCCTTCTGACAAAAGACTAGGAGGAATTTCTTTAGAATTAGGACTATAGATATGTCCAGTTAACAGTCTGATTTATGTGGCATGTATTCTGGTATTGGCACAAAAAAAGCTGCCAAAGGAATCTAATACTTTGGATCTCCAAAACTATTTTGTTTTGCAGAAATTTTACAGAAAATCTTAGGAACACGTAGCAAGCACAGCTCAGATGAGGATCATATTTTTATTTCTACTTAATTAATTTTATCCTTGTAAAATAGAGATTCATTGTTCCCATTTTCAGTCTTACCCTAATAATTTTGCAGGCTTCCTAGTGTTGCCCACATATAAGAGCAAACAGACATGCAAACAAAATAATCAAAATGTGAAGCTGTTAGATACAGTTCAATAGAACATTGTGAACTGCAATTCTAGCGTGCTGCTCAAACATGAAAAAGAACACCATCCACATGATAATCTCCTTGGACTGTTCCTGTCATTTCCCTGGGCTATATTATTAGCATAATATTCCGGGTACAGGATGAAAACAGAGTTATGGGAGTAGATAATTCAAAAGGGACTTATGACTTATAATCGCATGACTTATAACCCTCACCACTTTCATGCTAAATTTAGGCCAGTCTGGCCCCAAAATTTCAGCACAAATGTCTTGTGCACTGATTTTAGATAGAATAACAGTTGGAATTCTCTTGAATTAATGTTGTCTTCTTAATTCTAACTCACTGTTTAAGTGTAAATACTCAGCTGTAAATGCAGGCTTTTTGTACAGTGGGAAAGGTGAATCTCTTCACACTTGTTTCCTTTGGTATTTCTCTGCATCCCTCCATTGAAGGTTGATTATCATTGCATCTTTCTTACAATAGGCATTGTTAATCTTCTGTTTGAGTATGCAAAACCTTCCCGAATTTGCCTTGCAGCACTCCAGGAGTAAATGGTATGGCCTTTTTCAGGTAATCTTGGGCACTAAATTGAATTGCCCAGGGCACAGAAGGAGTTAATGCCCTAGTCTTACTCAAAGCTATCTTTGATACTTACCACAGAGCAGTGTCAGCTGAGTAGCAGGCTTTTTCAGTTTGACTCAGTTTGGTGCCTTGAGCTGATGATGTTTTCAGTTGAGCCCATTGATTTATTGAAGCAGTTTTCATTGGGATGTCTGAGAACTGGGATAAAATTTGCTGAGGAAACTGTGAGCTAAGTTTAACTTAGCTGCTGCTGGAGTCTGGGTGCTGGTATATGTTTTTCTTCAAAGGGTAGCATCTTGGTGCCCAACCTTGAAGAAAGATAAATAATATCTCAATGGTCAGGTGCTAAATATACATATCACTAAATATACATATCACTATCAATCAGCTCTGTCCTTGCACAATGTTTTCATGCAGTAAGCAGAGTAAGGACTAATAGAGAAAGGCACATCATGTCAAAAAATTTTCTAAACCATATTTGTACAATCACAATATGTAGAATACATTTATTTTGTAGCTTTATTGGCAGTTTCAGTAACTCAGTGTTTGTTTAGAGTCAGCTAAGCTTTCAAACTGAGTTTCAGTGGGCTAGGGGAGGACAAGTGGGTCACAAATTCAGGATCCTATTGTATAAGTTAAATTCCCTGGTTGTTTAACACAGTGCATGAGTTAAGAAAAATAGAGCTTCCAGACAAGTCAACAGGAATGTATTATTCTTTATACCACTTTTATTAATGTTCTTCAGCCCTTTCCTTTACATGCTGGATATAAGTGGTAGAGGGAATAGAATAGAAGTTTCAGTGATGAGCTTTATTCTTCTTATGAGCTCTTTCAAGTTTAGATCAAATAAACTAGTAACAGTCACATTTTACTGAAGTCAAATAATTCTGCTGGAGCCAAGCCACTAGCTCTTGGAAGGAGGAAGCAGAGAAAGACAAGTGCCTGCAAGTGAGTCACATGTTGAAACAGATACATTATGGGGTCTTCTTGTCAAATCAACATTTTGAGTGTAATTAGTGTAACTTGCACTATATATATGCAATAGCTGTGAGTGTTGCATTTGGGATTTCCAAAGATTTTCAGTTGTTGAAGTTCATTTGAATGTCCTTTGGACCACCAGAGTCCCTTTTCAAATCTCTGTCTCCAGTCCTGAGATACAAAACTAAAGAATAAATACTAGTATTGTGAAAATCTTAAACAAGTAGTCTCAAAGACACAAAGTGCTTAGTAGAGATGTTGCTTTATTGCCACTGAACTTTTTGTTTTTTAACTGAAAATTTCAGAAGTGATTTATGATCCATCCCCATGAAGTTGTTTAATTACCATGATTTTCTGTTCAGAGAATTCCCCTTAAGTAATGGATGAGAAACCCAGTTCCCATCAGGATCCACCTGATGTATGGCTGAATTCTCTGAATCCTTTTGCTGTCAGTCTTTACTGGTATAATGCCATTCCTACTTGTATGTCTGTTTTGATAAGACTTCTGGCCTTGACCATCTTTCGGCTAAAGAAATGCCGTGATCCTAGACCCCAAATCCTGTGTTTCCCAGAAATGGCTTCCAGTGATGCTGGACAGTCAGCTGTATTATTTTGAAAACTTCTGCAGTAATTTTATTTTTGAAAGGTGAAATTCAGGCAGCTCACTGCTGCCATGTTCATGAACTGCTGTAGGAAGCAATTGTCTTTGTACTGTGACCCAGTGAAAATGGAGCAGGTTCAGCTGTGATGGGACTCTTTCTATTTCAGGAAACAGCACAATGAAGGGAAGCTGCAAGCTGCAGCTCTGTAACACGTGCTGTGGCCTCCTTAGCCCTGTCTCTGGAATCATGGTCTGGCTCCTGCTTGTGAGGAAAATCAAGGATTCAGTGAAAGGAGCAAAGAGAAATCTGACACAAGATGGTAATCTCTGAGTCCCTTTTCTGGCCCACAAAAGGAAAGAGAAGATGCCTGATTAATATGAACTTACTGGTTTTCAACATTTTTTGATTCCCTAATTTATTTGCAGTCAGGTTATTTCGATGCAGTGCTAATGGATATCCTGAATTCTGTTTTCTTATTTGCTTCTTTTGCCTTTGGTCATAGTTTACCATCACAGTTTGGGGTAAGATGAGAATTAAAGTGGGTGTGATTTATTGAAATGTAGTTTCACATCATGTTTCATGGAATTTACATTGTTTTAATTTCTTCAGGTAAAAAAAGTTATCTACAGTGCCTAAAGAGAGCAGCTCTTTCTGAGTGAAACTTCTCATCTAACTGAACATAATGATCCTGAACCTGAAAGGCTGGTGTGGCTTTTTCTTTTTCAGAGGAATGATTTTCAAAAGGAATCCATGCAGTGAATGTGATGAATCGCCAATCTGCCTGATGCTACTACCCCAACTCTGTCCTTCATCGGATTAAGTTCTCTTCTTACTTCACTGAGCAGCAGGAGAAAGTGAGTTTTAACAAGTGCATCTGGAAAATAGCACTTCAAATACGATCTATCAATACACATTAAAGGTTCTGCCATGTGCTTCTGTTACTCAGAGACTTCAGCTGAGGACAGCAGCATCAAAAGGATTCATATTTTTAAATCACAGTTGGAGGTTTATTATAAGCCCAGACTCCATCTGTTTATATGTTAAGGTAGAAGCATAAATAGTTCCTTTAAAACTAGGAGGGAGCTGTGTTTAATTAATGCTGGTTTGGCACCTGAGAGCATTGGGTCTGCTTGGAAGGGAGTGCTAGAAGTGTGAACTACTAAAAATTAGAGGAAGATGGTGATACTGCTGGGAGGGCTTGAAAGCAGGACTGTCCATGGAGTGAGTGTCAAGGAATGCTCGACTGCAGGACCTGGCAGGTACCAGGGAGCTGAGTCCTGATCAAGAGATAAGGGTTTGAATGGGAAGTGAGGGGACAAACAGCTATTTCTTAGCAACTTCATGGAAAGGGTAAGCAAGGGCCTTTCCTCTGACCCTGTGGGTTAGCTGGAGAAGACTGGTCCCTCTTTGCTGAAAGTAGGGAAAATGAGAAGAATCTCTAAGAGATGTGGACTGAGCTAAGCAGGATTTCTGCAGTCTGCACAAGAGGATGAACGTGGACATGATTTTCTGAGCCTGAGAGAGTTTTCAGCCTGTTAGTGGCTGATCAGTTCCCAAAGGAAAGTTTCCTGAGAACATGTTTCTCTCAAGGACTGTTTTTTGTAAATAGGTTTTTGGTTCTCAAAACAATATTGTACAGATGTCCTGAGTGTTTTCTCGTGTTCCACCAATGGGACCAGAGAGGTGTTGTTCCCTTTACCAATCATGTTAAACCTGTAGTGGAACACCTTATGAAAGGGGCTGAAAACCCCGAAATAAAGGCTTCTGCCTTCTTGGTATGAAACCTCTGCTGCTGTGATTTGAATCTACTCTTCTATTTCGTGTCTACTAGCAGCAGATGAAGGCAAGCAGCCATAGTGGGAAAGAACTTGTAAGTTTAGATCTTAAACTTTTTGTCAAAAAGAAAAACTTTTTTTTTGTTTTTAAACTTCTCTTTTTTGTTGAACTTGCATAGCATACCCAATATAGACAAATGAGGGAAGAGGTATTGCTGAAAACATTATCATGTTTTATTCTATGGTTATGTGTTTACAACCATGACCAGTCTAGTGCGTATTAATACTGCTGGGACTCTGATGAGAACTGATTTCCTCCAAGTTGCAGGTCAGCACTGGACGTTAGATATTCTGGCATGTGATAATAGCCATGTGCTCCAGCCACTAGAAATGCTTCTATAAGCTTTTATGAGTATAGTCTTACTCTTGCCTCCTTTCCTGCCTTTCATGGTGAGCCTCACTTTATTCTTAACAGCTCTTGGAGTTCAAGCTTTAATGAATTGCCCTATTTTAAATCTTTCGATATCAATGGAACTCTTTTGTGCATGAAAGTAGAAATTGGTCTTGAAAGTGTAACTTAGGTCTGGACAGGGCAGAAACAACTATCTGATGTTCAGAGAGAGCTAAACCATACAGTGTTCTCTGATTTTCATTCTAGGCAACATTCAGGGAAGTTTGTGAAAATCTTGTTTGTTTGATCTTGTAGTGCTTCCCCCAGTTCATGTTACCCTTGTTTCCTGGATGACACTGCTGGTCAAGGATTCTCTTCTTCCATGAACAATTTCTGCCCCATTAATAGAGCAGAAAATCCTAAAGATGATTTTACCACCTGTTTGACTTTGCTCACTCCAAGAGACAATTTATATTTCATACAGGGCGTTTGATCAAAACCATGTACACAATTGCATACTACATTTTTTTCTTAGTTACAACTTAAAAATAAAATTCCTGATTCTACTTCACTCCTGTTACCTGTAAACAACAACTGAAGTTTGTGGTGGGCATCTGTAAATTATTTCTGTTGAGAAAAAGAATGCCTATGCATCCTTTATCCCCTTTCAGTAACAATCTGTCTTTTATATGTGATAGTGTAGAGTAGATGTTTTGATAACTGTTCAGTAAAGGAAGAAAATGTGAATAAAATAAATGGAAAAAATAAATTCTATTTCTAGTTGTGAATCTTGGAACAAACTGTAAAAGTTGTTTGAGAGTAGCCACATGACGATAAAGAGCATACTATCTCTGTTTCACAGGCAGAAATACTTAGATATAAGATGATTGGGTAATTTTCCCAAGGTCACACAGAAAACATGGAGAAAAAAAAAAATCTTGAACTTCTCATTCGTCATTTTATTAATTTTTTTCAGGACTGTCATTCTTCCTCTTGGTAAAGGTTTGCTATGCCAAAGTGCTTGCTGCTTTCTACATCAAATCAAATTTACAACTCAGCTCACCTATCAGTATTAATCTTGGCTTTAAAAAATCTGCAACTTAGAAAAATGTGATGATCTATGCTGTTAGCAGCAAATACTAATCTGGAAAAATGTTTTAAAAATTCACTAACTTTTAGTACTGACCTAATATAACCTTAACTCCTTCATTTCACTTGTGTGTCCTGAGGGTTTGTGTAAGTATTTATGCACATGATTAACTTCAGGCATCTGAAAAACTTAATAAGAAAGCAGTTTTACCAGTTTTACAGCAAAGGTTGCATCTGGGTGTGTTTTAGTACATTTTTGAAGTACTGAGGCTTTTGAAGGAAATGCTGTTCCATTAGAGGTACAGTCACTTTCTTTGTAACCTTTCAGGCATGGCACTGTGTGGAAGGGTATAGATTTTCCTTTTTATTTTTCCAGTCAGTGGATAACATTGTAGCAATTGTAAGTATGCCCGTAAGTCTCCTGCAGCCTATTCAGGACATGTTCCTCTATGGAACTTTATATTGGAAACCACATTCTGTACAATGATGTAGTCTCAGATTTTTGTGTCTGTTTCCAAACCATCTTCTTGTACACTTGTGGAAGTCACAGTGAAGTGTAAATGTTGAGGGAAATGAGCGATGGATTTGCTTTTACATTGTGGGTAAAACATGCCCCACAAAAATTCTCCTTAGCAAGGTATTTACATAGGTGTCATGGTTGCATTTTTATGTGCATGATGAGCTTTGCTCTCAGGTTATGTCTGTGCACTAGCACAGCTTAACCAGAGCTGCAGCTCTCTCTGCTCTACACCATACTTATGGCTTGACTCAAGCCTGATAAAGTTGTACATTCTACCTATCCTCCAAGTTACAGTCAGCATCAGAAGACCTACTTAGGCCATTTTTGCTGGGCTTCTGAGACATAGATCTGGTGGATTATGGCTGAGTATGGATTGCAGTAAGCCAAATGAAAGTGAGTCTTAAAAGGGTTCTCCCATATAAAGTCTCCTTGGCAAGGGTTGGTTAAGATTTTTGGTATTAAATCTACATAAAATAAATCTACAGGTGTTTAAGTTTAAAAAGAAAAAAAATAAAACCAAAAAAATTAAAACTATGCAACTCTCCCCTCCCAGAAAAAACAAACATACAAACAAAAAACCCCCAAACCACCAACAAAAAAATCCAGCAAAAAAACCAAAACAAAACCCTAAAGTTTTTAGGGCAGGGGAGAAAAGTTCACTCTGAACAGGGGCGAATTTTTTTCCAGTCACTGGGATAGTTCCGCTATTTACCCCCAGTTTCAGGTGAATTTTAATTTTGAGAGCAAATTTCATTGCCAAAAGAGTTTGTAGGGTAATTTGCAAACCAACCACCATGAGTCTTTTTAGTCTAGTATCATGTGATTCTGACATCTCTGTATTCAGTGAGTGGGCATTTTCATACACTCCTGCAGCATTTTTGCTCTGCAGGCTGGGTATATAGAATTCCTGTGGTGTGTCTCCAGCAGAGCCCTGGTGCTGCCAGAACCACTTCAACTAAAATAAGTGTTTTCCTACAAAACACAAACAAAACTTTTATAACTGGTTTGTATCAGACTGTTAAGCTTGTTTTGCTGTGGAGAAACTTTTCTGCCTTTATTAAGCTTACGCTGATGATCTGCTCAGTCTGTTCCCCTTAGAAGGGAAGTAAATAGGACAGCTTGTAAATCTTGTCAGCTGTGAAGTCTGCATACATTTGAAAATGAGCATTTAGATTATAAATTTGAGGGGGTAAGGGAAGCACAGTAATCATTTAGTGTATGGGATTGCGGCTCATGTCTAAAGTTGGTCAGAATGACACTAATAAGAATTTATTTACTTGTTTCAAGACTGCTTTTATATAAACCTATTTATAACATTCCTATGACAATAGCAACTCCAAGGCTACAAACACAAGGGTTTCAACAGAGATACTTGTTACCAACCACTGAAATACCATTGTTTGATACTAACATTGCATTGCAGATAGGGGCCCTCTCTCAGCAGTGGTTTCAGCAGCAGAGACAGATAGGTGCCCCATCAGGGTTACTGGGACAGCAGTACCTTCCACTGAGGGATCAGAGGATGAGGGGTCGTGATGGCACTTCTTGGGGTGGCCTGAGGAAAAAATGGCACCAAGCACCCTGAGGAAAATGGGCACACGTGGGAATGATGACTTACCTATGTTACACCCTAAATCTCTAGAAACACCCAGAAAAGCATTGAAGGTGCCTTTGTTTACTTCTGAATGTCAAGCTTGCTGTAGGTTTTGAACATTACTTAAAAGAAGATACTGTTTGCTATTCTGTTTTACTTGAGAATGTGTGAAATGTCGATATTCAATGTCATATTCTATGATGACACTTTTAAGTTCAGTGGTGGGTGTAAAAAAGTTTCCAAAAGTATGGAATGTGAAAACACAGGGAGTAAGACCCTGGTTGTATGTGAAAATTGGAAAGATTGGCAACGTGTGGCTGCTGCCTTATGCAGTCCTTCAGTCTTGGCTTGCAGCAGCCGTTCATTACACTGGCTCTTGGCACGTCTTTTGCAGGTCCAGCAGTAGTGACCAATTGCTCAGCAGTTTTGCAGAATTGCTTGAATGATCAGACCAAACAGTTTCGCTGGTGACCCAAGCCTGAGTTTGTGCCCCCCTGAAAGGGCAGAGCTTGTGTGTTTTAATTCCCAGCACCACTTGCCATTGCCTTTGCCAGCAGCCTGCTCTGTGAGCAGCTGCTGGAGTACAAAAGGCCAAAGGGAAGTGTCTCAGATTTGCCCTAGTCCTTTCACACTCCAAGTCACTGGAACATGTCCAAGTGCATGGTGAACTACAGGCGGTCTCTGCAGAACAGCCTGTACAGTTGACTTTAAGTGAAACGTGAATCATCTCAGTCCTGAATTATTTTAATCCAATCAGTCAGTCATCTGTGTTGAAGGGTGTAAAGAGACAGCAAAACCAAGAGAATGGCTGCCAAGTGGAGGATACAGGACACAAATAAATCTGCTATGATGAGATGAAATATGAACTAATAATGATTTATTCCAAATGCCGCAGGGGTTACAGTGTGAACCACTTGTAGAGACATTGAGATGAGATGAATTTTTTAGGCTTTCCCCTGTATGATTTTTATAACACAGCAGAGGTGAAGGGAAGGCAAAGCTGTTAGTTACACAGAGAGTACACACAAGGGTTTTGAAGTGCTCACATACAAATTCTCCCTAATTAATATATGCTTTACAAGTCTCTTGTAAGTAGATGAGCATGAACAGCTGTAGTTCTTTTTATAGATACAAAGTAATCTCTAATACATGTTGGAGTTGAAGGATACAGAGAACAACATGCTGTGGATCCATAAAGCTCTTCTAGCCATGGAAGTATTCTTTTTATACCCTCTAAAAGTGGAAGAGAATGCAGAAGAGCACAGAGTGCAGTCTTGAAGAATACTGCTTGGAACAAAATCATGACTGGGGTAAAGGATCTAGCTATTAGTGACACGTATCATACACTCCTTGTTAACACATGAAACAGCATGTGTGAGTTGGACCTGTTTTCTTGACAGGTTCAGTCCTTTGTGACCCATATGAAACAGGCAGCATTTGCTAATGTTTCTTCCCATCTTTTAGTACTGTCATTGGCCTTCATAATAAAAAAAGAAGTACATGTTTCATGCTTTTAAATATTTTTAAAAGCCACAGCAATAAGTCATAATAGAACTCCTTAGACTTGAGGAATATCTTTGAACTTGCTTCCTGTTTGAAGATGTTTTCTCTCTTATTTTTCCTTATAGCTAGCTGTTTATATTAGTTTAATATTGTCCTCTGCTGGGAGACAATATCCTGTTTTAGTAAGTGAAGGGAGAGATTATAACGACTCCTTTCCATCTCTGATGCCTATGATTTCATTTATATGAAAACACTGTGGATTTTGAACAGTGTGTTGCTTTTGGCAGTTTATTACCAGCCTGAATGCCTCACTTTTTTCTTGATCTAACATTTATCTGCTGCAGAAGTCATTGTCTCCTTCATTTTTAGTTTTAATAACCTTCCTTTTAATAAACCTCAGATTGACCTAAGTTTCCAGTAGCTTACTTCAAAGCAATGCCCCATACCTTCTGATTTTAACCAACTGATTTTTCCTCTCAAAATAATAAGCTCATTACATTTTTATTGATTTCATGGCTTTTTCTGATGTGACACAGGGAAGAATCGATTGACTCAGGACAAAACGCTTTGCTGGGTTTCCTCCATTATTGCAACCAAAGGGAGAACTGCTGGAGGGCCTATGGGGAAGAACTGTTTCAACAGCACTTTCTGCCCTGTTCTTTTGGGCTTAGCCCCACTTTGGATTGACTGCTATGACTGCAAATGAATTTTGTTCACTTCCTCTTACGCAGTTGAAGAGACACCAAGGAAAAGCTGAAAGTCAATACTGATAGAATTTTTCCCCTTTCCTTTTAGGGGAAAGAAGTACAATCTTGTGGATTTAGTCACTGTGGAAGAAAACCCTCAGCTATACAAATGCTGCTGCTTAGAAAAGGAAAAAATGAAAATGCCGAAGTAGGGGTGATGTGGATTTCATACATTGCTAGAACAACAATTTTTGGGGAACTAAACCTTCTCCTCCCAATACTTACTTTAGAAAAGCACATCAAAGGGTAAACAGCTTTGAAGTATCAGAAAACACATATATTGACTTACCTATAAGACATTTCAGTACAAACATTGCTTTGTATTCTGCATTCTTCTCATGAAACCTGCTAAAGGAAAGTCAGAAGGAGTTTTATAATAATCTCCTATAGCAATGGGAAGTTAGCTGAGAATGGGTTAAAATCATCTCTTAAGCCACTGTTGGAAAAGAAGCTAAGTATGGAAAGGACCATAACCTTTTCCTCAAGTGTTACTGCTTTCTCTTTCCCTGTCTCAGAAATTAAAATAAAGCTATGAGGCTTCAAATTACTGCTAAAGTGCATTGCCTTTCATTGGATTGTAGAAGAAAATGGGGGGAAGGTATCATTAATGAGAGAAGGGATCACTGACTGTGTAATTAAGTTTACATTTGGTTGAGAAACTTCAAAATAATGAAGAAACCATCTTCAGGAAGTAATGTACATTTCCCCCCAAATTTCTCAGCTTTAGCTCTGTAATAATTTTGAAGTTAATACACTAAGTGAACAAAGCTAGTTTTGAATTATCATACTTCTTTCCCTCTCAAGTTAATCCTAGAAGACTTCTAGGTAAGGTCTGTACCGTGGTGGGAATGTACATGAGCAGAATAAAGTCCAAATGAAAGAAATTTTTTCATGAGCTGCATAAAGAAGAAATATTGAAATTACAGTGTGACTCAGATCAAGATGTGATCCACTGGAGAGAGTTCCGTTGCTGAAAAGATCACTCCTCTTGTTTTTATCCTTGCTTGACTTGTGCTGTGTCTTTGTAGGAGCATTTCAGACCAATCTAGGAAAGTATTCTGGATTCAGCCAGTCCACAGCAGCTCCAGAGCTGTTGGCTAAGGTGATGTTCTGACTTGCACCACTCAACTGCTGGACTTCTTGTTCTGCTTGTGACTGATGGATTTAGGGTACAGGAAATCAGAGTTGTATCTAGAAGGCAGCTCTACTCCTTGGACACTGCTGCACGTTATTGTAATACTGGGTATCTGGGCTGAAGATGATTCCTGGTGAGACTCTCCTTTTCTTTGTCCAATACTGTTCAGGCTCTCACTTTTCTAAAGGATGCAAAGGTTTACAAGAAATGGACCACACAAACATCTACAAGGAGATCCCACTGAATCATCTATAAAAAATGACATATATTTAGCAATTTGCTACTACCCATGGCTGACTGAAAAGCAAACTTAAATGATGTAGGGAAAAGTAGATGTGAACATTTTTTAATATTTCATGAATAACTTATGAAAAAAAATCCCCCACCTGTTAAACAAGCTAATGTACTAAAGCATTAAAGACTTTGCATTTGCTATTTAAGTGCTGGTCTACTTTGAAGAAAGACCAGGCTAGTGACAACACATTCAACTATTAAGAGAAATACTGTGAATATGCTCAGCCAGCCTATTCAATCGGATAAATAGTTTCTCCATAAAGAAGGACTGCTTAGGGTCTTGGGCAAGAGATAATGTAAAATGTAGTGTTAACAGCATGGATAATTTGAAGGGGGAAGCAAACTACATAATGAGGTAAAAATTGAGGGAAAGATTAACTGGCATTTTTTGATAATAAACCATATTAGCTGTTGCTTGCACAGTACCAAAAAATCAATTAGGATGAGGCTCACAATAGCTCATAAGGATAATTTCTAACAGTAAAGAGACAATTTAAGGTGATTGTATTACATTGGGGTTAGTGCTGCAAAGAAAAAAACTACTTTGTTTTCATCCACCAGCTCTTTTATTTCCGTGCCTGCTGAGAATTAAGGCAAGTTGACTCGCTTGTGAGAGATGTCAGATATTTTTACCCGTATGCAGTAGCTGTGTTAGATGAAGAACAAGCAGGCACTAATACAACATACAACATCCTACTGAATAGATTACATGGCATGTTTCAAAAACTGACCTTGATTTCCTCCAAGCTGCATGTTTTAGATGATTGCTGCAACCCAGAACAGAGAACATTAAACAGTTAATAACATAACTTTGTACAGCAGTCCTTGCCGCAGGACTAAGGCTGTCTCAGAGGTACAGCCATCAGAATGGCTGTCTCAGCTTACTATATACATCATTAATATAAAGATGGCACAAAGTTAATGCTTCCATGCTCCACTAAGGAAATCACAGACCTCATCAGAGGACTTACTAAATTCAAGAAAATATTCAGGTTCCTTGAAGAAATTTGACTTCAGAAGAATCCTGTGGTACCTATGTTCTCCTTCTGCTTAGTTTCGGCAATGGTCTACCCTTTGTGGTCATGTTTTCTGCGTTGTGCTGGGAATATTGTGTAATTTTTGCATCTCAAAAACAACTTAATTTGTGCTCAGGGAGTGGGATTGTCATTAGTTTTTGTTGCCAAATATTAAAATAATAGTTCTTACAGTAGGTGTAGCCGTGTACTCTGTGACATTCAATTCCACCATCAATATGTCATCAGCATCTACAGCTGTCTGAAAAATGAACACAGATAATGCAGATATAAATGGCATAAAGGTATGTCACAATATCTGACATGCAAAATACATAGGGAAAAAGAGGACAGCAGATGATTGACTAAAAATCAGTGATATATTAAAGATAGCCTTGTTTTTTACATCTTACCAAATTTGTTCCTTTGTTAGCAAATGGTGAGACAAAAGAAACATTGACCAAGTAATTTGGACGGTGAAAGACAAATATTACTAAATACACACTTAAAACCAAACACAAGACAACTCTCCATTCAGATACTAAGTTCTCTAAAACAGCAGCAGAAATGCAATGAAGACAGCTGAATAATGAACCAGGCAGGAATAAAAAGCTGATGACCTTTTACAGCATCTAAGTCATTACTCATTGTGTTAACTCATAGGTTATCCGTTTCTTCTTGGCAGGAACCTTCATGATTAATTATGGTACAATGTACAGATTTGTTAACTTGTCAGTTGTCCAAGAATTTAGGTATTACACAGTCTATTACCTTCCCACAATTCCCAGAATCCTGGCTTGTCAGTTTGGCTCTTATGTCAGTAGCCTGAGTTGTGTCTTTATCTGTTTCATAGGAAATTTGTCTTCTGGCAAGTCTGGAGAACATACTGGGAGTATCGGTTTCTGTTTCAGTACAGCCCTAAAATTAATACAGCAAAAACATTCATTCTAGGTCCCTTAGACTTTCATCCAATTTGCTCCATTTTTAACTGGACAGAAATCATAAAAGAGATAGGCATTGTATAAAAGACATTTCACAAAAGTTCTACCACATATAGCTTCATAAAATGTTTGCTTATAAGAAGTACAAATTAAATTATCAAGTCTGTTGTGTCTAAAATTCAGCTTACTTTTTTTTTCCTCCACAGGATGCACTGCAAAATTTGAAAGAAAATAGTATTTTGTTACAATCGTTGAAACTTCTCTGATGCCTTTTGTAGCTCCAAGGAGACAGTGTTTCCATGGTACTACCCACTTAGGAAGTACAGATGTTTGGAGGAATTAGGGCCAAAGTTTCCAAAGTGGCTTGGGTGGAAGCAGAAATGAAGGAAGTGTCTCTGGACTGCAGAATCAGTCCTTCAGAAATATTTTGTTTCAGGAAGGAGTCTTGCGTTTATCAACTTTGTTCCACTTAGTGGGAAAACAAAACCGTATTACTGAGGGAGTCTGTTGTTTTTTTAAGAATCAGGATTCGCAGTGTAAGAGATGCAATATAAAGATGTTCCTTTTCTATTAGCCTGTGTTAAAACCTTCCACCTGACAGGAGGCAACCAGCCAGACGAATTTCATTTTGATTGGACTGAAAAGTCAAAGGAACAGAGAGGGCAAAGAAATTGAAATGTCACTGTTAAAAAACAACTATCAGAATTCAGCGCTTGTCTGGTTTAGATATGGTTATTATCCTGACTGTGAAAAAGAATTGCCAAGAAAATTTTGTCTTTTAAGTTATTTGGAAATTTAGTTTTAAATTATTGCAGTGAACTAACTAATATGATTATTTAGTTACTAATATTACTTTGAGTTATAGGAGGGAGCCTGGATGCCAAAGACTTGCCCTGTTTTCAGCAGCTGTGTAAAACATTTGTTTTGCTTGCTGAGACTGGCAGCAGCAAGCTGTTGAGGTCTTCTGTGAGAAAGATTCTGTAATGGATTTACTGATTTGTCTAAATCTGATGATTAATATGTTTCCAAATCAATCCCACTTTCAGAAAACATTGTCTATTTCATTACAACCTTGTTTTCACTAGAGAACTATTTTGTGACTGGCAGCTTCTTTTTTCTGTGTCCAGTCTGCAAATCTGTGGTCAGACAAGCTCTACCTAAAAGTATGATCAGACTTTCAGCTGAGCTCTTGACTCTGTGCTTCCTTTATTGTTACCCATAGGTAAGGCTTTATAAATACTTACCTATCGGTAACACTTTACTTCCTAAAATTCCTGTTGTTCCATCTTTCCACTCCTCTTTCAGTGTCACCAATCATCAAGAAGAAAATTATTTGCATTCTACTTTTATACTTCCGCCTTCTGTATTTAATTTTGCTTTGTCCCTCCACTTTCTCTGGAGCTTTTGTAACAAGCACTATAATGCATTTCATCTAAAGAAACTACCACCTGGAAAGACTCTATATGAAAATGAATTGCTTTGCAATTAAAAATGGGTGTATGGGAAGTGTCTCCCTTACTGATTCACTGTCAGAGAGAGAAGACAATCTCCTTTTTCCTTTCTGCAGCCCACTTATCTCAGAAGACTGGCTGGTTACGGTCGCTCGTCTGGAGGAGTGGTAACTGCTGAAAGACCGTGAGTCTTTAGGAGAAACTCTCAGTAGGGGTCCAAGGCAAGGAACATATGTTGCAATGGCTCTTCTAATGGATAAGAGATAGAACCAGTCAGATTTTCTTTTCTGTTAGCACAAAAATTCAATCATCGTAAACAATGAATTTATTCAGAGAGATGAACTAATACAGCATGGACTGGAAAATTACTGGGTACAAAAAGAGTTTTCCAGATATCAGATATCTCATCTACAATCACCCTGCAAGATGACTTATTCACAGTGTTCGGCAGAACTCAAATTTATGGCTTGGCAGGGATAAAGGCATTAAAATATAACTCGTGGAACGGAAGGGAGCTATTAAAATGATGTTTTATCTGCTTTCAGCTTAATCAGGGCAAAAATAAAATGCTGTCCCTTTAAACTGAACCTCACAGAAGTACTACATAA